ATTCATGGATTTTTTTTTCACATTCTGTCTCTCACAGTTGAAGTGTACCTCTGGTGCGAATTACTGACCTCTGTCATCATTTTAAGTGGGGGAACTTGCACAATCGGTGGCTGACTAAATACTTTTTTGCCCCACTGCATGTGTTTGAACAACAAAACTCATTTATTTCTCTGCTTTTTGTTTACAGGTACAAAACTCGATTTCGACCCACATACAAGATCGCTTATAAGACGGTCACAGAGTTAGAGTGGAGATGCTGTCCTAATTACCAAGGTCCAAACTGTAAAGACTCAAAACCAACCCCTAACCGGCAAACAGTTCAGGGAACGCAGCCTTACCGCCCACCAAATCCTGGACATACAACCAGACACATACAGAGTGAGAAATCAACTTTATACTAACAGTATTTTACTAAACATTAGTATGTGCCACTAACAAAGTAACTTTTACTTATTTATGTTATAATTCACAAGTTATTTCATTACTCCAGGGCCGGAGCGAAGAGAGACCCCGCAGCATGTGACAAGGCCTGGTGGGACAGATAAAGTGCATCTTCTGGAAGGTGAAGTTCAGCGTCTGTCTCAGACAGTCCTGGATCTCCAGTCTGCTTTGACAGGGTTAACTGCAAACCTGCAAGAGGACACAAAGAAGATGCTCATGACACTTCTAAACAACATGCGCCCACCAGACAGTCCCACAGATGCAGCTACGGAGGAGAACCCGGCCGTTTTGGATGGTCATCAGGCCACCAGGGGTGGGATGCCAGGACAGAAGGACATAGAAAAAATAGTCGCTCGTTTGGATGATATCAATAACGCGCTGCAAAGCAAGGATGAAGCTTTGGAAGACCTAAGAGGAATCACAACAAGTCATGAGGGCCAGATACGTGTCCTCATGGATGCCTCTCAGTCTCAAGCTTCACCCATACCGGATTTTGATGTTATACAGACTTACATTGATGGAAAATTTGAAAGCCTAAAGAAAGAGATTGACCAGAATTTGGAGGAGCAAATGGCCAAAGCTCAGAGCTCATGTAATGACAAGCTCCAGAAGCTGCAGAAGACCTGTGAAGATAGCCATGATGAAGTATTGGACAGGTTTACCAAGTTGGTCAATTCCAAGGAGGCTGATCTGCGAAAGGAGATCCGATCGCTGCGTCTAGACTTGGCTGCTGCAGATGGACCTGTGCGAACCCAAAGGCAGACGGATCCATCCAAAGAGGAAAAAGAACACGGTGACCATAAAGACCTGTGGCGTGAGATTGACCGCATTGCAGAGGCTCACCGCATCCTGAATGTCCGCATTGACAATGAGCTGGAAAATCTGTCTGCTCCACAAGAAAGCATCAGCGATTTTTCCGTATTGATTGAGGAGCTGGAGGCACGTATAAATATCACAGAACTAAATGCAGAGACTCACTGCTTCTACATCGAGGAAAAGCTAACCCGTACAATCACAGAGGAAGTGGCAGCTCTTCGGACGCTTCTGGATGGACGTCTGAACGGCATGGAGGACCAGTTTACAAACATGCTGGTGGAAATGAGCCAAAACAATTTCCCTGGGGAGTTTAGTGACTCTATTAATGCCATCCAGTCAGAAGTTAACAACAACAAGCTCCTCCTCCAAGGTTTGGATGACAAGGTTAACACTGTTGGAGAATTGTGCTCTGCAGGATGTTCAGGCTCACAAAATACCGCAGGACAGGTAACTTCTGCACCTAAACTTAATGGTCTAGAAAACATTTTGAAGGACCTGTATCGGTACAGAAATGACCTGGACGTCCTTCACACAGATGTGAGTTCCAACACAGCCAAGCTCAGCCAACTTGAGAATTTTGTTCAGAGGTACTCAGGAGCAGCAGAGAGAAGTGTGCAGACAATGGATGACTTCAAGAAGGGACTGAATAATCTTGAAAACAACGTACTCGGTCTGTCTGGCGCTGTTACTGGTTTAAGTGATTCCTTAGGCAAATACAACCAAGATATGCAGAAAATAAACTCAACATGCTGCTATGCTGAGCAGAGAGGCGAAGGCAGTACAGCACAGGACAGCTGGAGTACATCTGAATCCACTCAACGTAAGGTGGGGGAGCTGGAGGACAGACTCGATACGCTTAGCAGACAGGTGTCATCTGAACTGGGTGAATGTAAACAGAACACACAGGGTGTTTCTGATGGCATCTCCGCTGTGGATGGACGTGTAACCCGACTCGAAAAGGTGTGTGGAAGGTTAGACGGAGTTTCTGCTAACATCAAAGACCTGAAAGATGGGCTAGAGAGACATGTTGCCGGCCTGCGGGACTGCGTCGACAGAATGAACATCACATGTGGAAATCACGGAGCAGAAATCAATGCTCTGCAAAAATCCTTGCAGAAGTTTCAGGGACAGCTATCCGCCATGGCCAAAAGTGTTTTGAAGGACGGCGGTGACAAAGAGCCAGGTGAGTTGATAGCAATAAAACAGTTCAGTCTTTATTTTTTTTAAAATCGCAAACAAACTTTTAATGGACAGCTGTGACATTCCTGTCCACACATTAATATAGTCACACCCAAAATGAAGCTTAAAAGAGCATAGTAACAAGCACTCTGCTCATCGCATCAACCAAACACAACAAAAGATGAAAGTGTTCACAGCTTTTTAAAGCGTAAACACGCAAAGGCTTTAAAAAAAATGGCCTGACAGAGTCAATCACTTAAACATGAATCCAGATGCATTCTTCTGGAAGTCTTTCCTGGAAGACATTCAGTGTTGCACTCATTTTCCCAAAAATAATGGAAATAGCTGTCTAAAGAATGCAAAGTCAAAAAAAGATGAAGTTCAGACACTGATTACTTTAATCTCTGCACACCAGTAGAGTGCTGCTAACATGGACTAAATGTCAAAATATGAGTTCCAAAAGTTGCCTGAATCATCCCCCCCAATTCTGACTTGGAAAGAGACGGAGAAGGAGACCTTACAGACGCCCTGTGAACATCTGACGCGCACTTTGATAGGAGCACAGTGACACTTTCAGAGCCTAAAGGTGAATACGGGCATGTAGGTGGTGCTTGTGAAATGAAACAACAGCAGCTGTGGCAGCAAATGGCTTTCGTGTGATCTGTATGGCAGCAAAGGAGTGATACTATCAGATTAATGAGGCACAGTAATGAAAAGGGTGTGCTGGAAGTACAGTATGAAGCAACGAGAAGAGTACGCCATGTGCCTTTTGTAGCATTTACAAGTCGACTGTCTCAACTAGCTAGCAGGCTTTGCTTCATTAGCGGGCAGAGTTATCACGATAGGGAATCATGACAGTAATTGGAGTCAGATTATGGCACAGTTTAGCCACTTAAGGGTCCATTAGTTCAGGGGATTCCCACATTAGTGCAGTCAAGCACTGAAATTAGCCAGAAGAACCCAAGTAAAAAGTAAAAAAGTAGTGGCTACATGCACATAATCTTTTTTGTCAGCGTCCTGCCTAGTTTTCACTATCTGAGTTTATCAAGTATGATTAACATCTGTGTAAACACAAACTTTTCCTGTGGATAATCTCCACATAATGCTGGCTTGGTTTACGTGAAGGCTTGAACAGCTACAGGGTATTTCTCAAAATGGGAGGGCACAAGTTCACTGAGCCTCCCGTGCTTGCCTCCAGCATGTCATTCAATATGTCCCAGCACTGAGAAGCAGAGGCCCACATTAGAGACTTCCTGTGGCTTAGATTTGTGTTGTCCCAGGAATCCCCCTTTTTTGTACAGGCAATGAAACATGCAAATGAAATCTGAAAATTTTTACAGCCATTCCAGTGCCTATGATGATTTACTCACAGTGTTACGTGCCTTGTTACTCTGTGACGTAAATATCACTTAAACACTCAACAGACTGCTCCTTCTCCCCCAGTCCTTTCATGAGTTGTGAGGTCTTCTTTCTTTCACCATAATTCCCCTTTATTTGCAATACCACAGAACTGCGGACCTCAACCTCAGCTCCCAGTCCCTCAGTACACATACCTCTACCCCTCCCTCGTTTCTTTCTCTTTACACATGTACACATACCAGCCTCGAGAGATTCCCGCAGGGTGACCTAAGCCCGATGTGTGGAGTCTGGTCCTCATTAAGGGCCCTGACTCACCGCTGGAGTCAGTCTTGATGGAGAGGGGAGAAGAAGGGCTCCACACCCAGGACCAGATGCTTCAGCTACCCTCAGCTGTGATGTCATGACTGGGGCCCCATTACCAGTCCCTCCCACATTATTCTCCAAAACAATAGAGCGATAGGGAGCTGCGGAGAAAAGCGGGCCGATGAATTGTACCCATTTCAGCATTTGCCAAATATGGCCTGTTATTTCCAAACAAGGATGTTTGATTTCATTATCTTACAAGGAACATTAAGCTTGGTTTATAATCAGAACCCCCACTTCCCACCTTTCCAACTTCAGATAGAGGGTGGCTGTGTCAGCTATTCTTTGCAACTTTCTGAGACAGGCAAGCTGGCATTCACAATCACTTCTTACTGTGATTGGCCTCTTGAGGTGAGAGAGGAGCAGGGAATTTTAAGCTACCCAGCATTTTCTTTAATCACTCAAGTTTGTCTGCTATTTGTGGCATTTTTCATATGTCCGTTTTAGCAAAGAGACATTTATCGCTTGTGTGCACCATTATTTCAGTCTATACTGTAGCAACCTGCTAACTTAACTCAAAGAGGGAGAAAACGGCTAGCTTGGTTCCAAGACAAATTAACTGCAACTTCCTGGAGTGTCAACTTGTTGCCTGGTAACTGGTAACTGGTTTCCCCCCATAACATGCTAAAGTGTCACTGAGTTGCCATTTTTCTACTGATTTAACAAAGATACAGCTTGTTAAATAGAACATTTCTGAGAAGCTGGTCGGCAGGACACCAGGCAACCTGTTTCAAATTTTTCTTCCAGCCTACATTAGCAAACTGCTCGAGGTAACTCACCTAAATCTCAGCATGAGCAGAGTAAATAAGCTTACTGTATTTCTAAAAGTGTCAGAATTTTTCCCTTCAAAGAGTAATCTCATTTTCTTTTAGTCCTAAATCCCACAAGAGAGGGAGTTGGACTTTATGGCTTGAGATTTAATGGTTACTTCAAGTTTGGAAAGGAGAGAAATTGTCTAAATAGAGATAAAATATCCACAAAAAATCCCTGCTCTGTGGGTGTGGTGGTGGCTGAGAGCCTACTGAAATGTTTCCTCTCTGTGTTTGAGCTCATATTCTCCACACAGTCATATGAGGACCCAGAGGAGGCTGCAAACAGATGATGTGTTGTAATAACATAACTGAAAGATTGACTGGAATAGCTTTGCCCTTACACAGCGTGACTGTTGAATTGGAATTGTGTGACTTTAGTTTTAAAGTGTTGGCACTGCTTAGCCCTCAGCAGCTGCTCCTGCTGCAGAGGTCTGCCACTACTGCTTTTGTTTTTTGTATCTAGTTGCTTTCCCTCTGAGAGGGAGTTGTGGTTAAGAAGAAATTATTCTGTGGAAACATTCAAAAGTCTGTGATCTACCAACGAAATCTGAAATTACGCAAGAGATTTCAATCTCTCAAGAATTGGCAAACTAGTTTCATACAGTCATGGTTAAAAAAAAAAGGAAAAAGGAAAGTACAGCCTTTGTTAAGTATAAAGTTTTACATATCAAGATATTTTAAAAAAAAACTCAAGTACTTATCAGGTCTTAAAATAAGGTAAATACATTCTGACACGGTGTCGTTAGCCAGAATGCAGAAGCAGTATATGAAAAACTTGTTTCAGTAACTTGTTAAGTCACCTTTAGCAGCAATACCTCAAATGAAAGATTTCTATATGACTTTATCAGACTCTCACATTGTTGTGGAGGAATTCTGGTGCATTGTTCTTTTCATTGAGGTTTTCATTCATGCACAGCTCTCTTAATGCAAGCCACATCATTACAATCTGAACTTTGACTGGGTCACTGCAAAACCTTGATCCTTGTCTTTTTCAGCAATTCACCGTCCTGTTGCATTCAGCTAAGCTTTTATCTGTCTGACAGATGGTCTCACATATAACCAGTGTTGGTCAAGTTACTTGAAAAAAGTAATCAGTAACTAATTACTGATTACTTCCCCAAAAAGTAATCCCGTTACTTTACTGATTACTTATTTTCAAAAGTAATTAATTA